GTCAGCAGGTTTAATACTATTTATAGAAGCTCTCTGATTTTGAAAGCTGGAAAACAGGAAAACTATAGTGAAATCCATTTTGTACTGCAAGATCATGCTGGTTGACCAGCATATCAGCATCCAAAACATATGTTAGTTTTGCTTGTGACCACCCAGGATGTCAAGTCAAAATAGCTGCCCACACATCAACAGTAATAAAACACCACCTCCCTACTTTTAAATCATTAAACAGTCATCTTATAAACTTCACTGCTTTTGTCCATCATGAACATTAAAGCTATCACACACTAACATTAGCTGGCCAGCTTGTCGCTAACCCCTACGACCAGCACAGACCAGAACAGCTGGTCACCAGCAAAACCAGTGTGTGGATGCTGGTATGCTGGTCAATCAGTACCACTGTGCTTGGTGACCAGCTAAACAAGCATAAATCAGCATAAACCAGCTTAGCCTAGCATGGAATTCATGCTAGTCTATGCTGTCTTTTTTCAGCAGGAACAAAACTCAACTCAAACGTGCAAAAATAACACAGTTCTGAGCTCCGAGGCCACGTCCAAGCAGTGGGGCTACCTCAAAACAAGTGGTCACATCCGTCACATCACCATGTCCCACTAAACCGGCTAGTGCACACATGCCGCTATAGTGGGACATGGTGATTAATTAGTGGGACATTTATAAGGGATCAAAGACCCTCCATCATACAGTGGAAATTCTCTTTAAAGTATGAAAAATGTTATCAATTATTAATAAAGTATGCACTCATTTTTAGGCCAAAATAAAACTCTCAGGCTATTTTGAAATGTATAAATAATACAAAACCTTGATGTATGTAAACAACTCCTATGAGTATCACCTTCAATACTAAATATAACACCATGAAAATCTCTGCCTACTCGCCATTACATTCTATGTGTGTCACCTGCATCTGTGACAGATCCCCCCAGGGCCGTGTGACGCCAGTGATGAAGCAGAGCACTCGGTAATCCAGCCTGGCCCTCCTGCTGTCCTGCTGTCGCTGCTAAAGTCATTAACGAGCTCACCGCGCTGCTCTCCGTCTCCAGTGCACAGGCCCACGGATGCACACACTCCTCACTCACTAACGTGAGGATTGAGGACGCTGAGGTGTGTCGGTGAGTGATTGAGTGGGTAAGCATGGTCATGTGTTTAGATCTTTAAGAGGGCAGGAATAACCAGGATGATGGAAAACATGAACCTTTTGACACTGTAGGGTCCCTATGATTCCAGCGTTTTTTTATGGATTCGTTTTTGTCATTCTAGGTGACACACTGCTATAATTTTTGTAAACTAAAAACGGTAATAGTAGCCCATTTAGTCTTTTCTATAGATAACAGAAAGCCATACAGTTTCAGTCCATTTGAGGTTACTTGATGGAGAATTCCACCAAATTCTCAAAATTTAATGCTTAATACATTGCTCAACAGTCATTCAGAGTAGTTTAATGCAAAATGGCAGTTATGGACGAAGTACACAAATCATGTACTTGAGTTAAAGTAGAGATACCCAAGGTAAAATATTACTCCAGTAAAAGTAGAAGTTCCTCCCTTTAGACCTCCACTTGAGTAAAAGTACTAAAGTATTTGCCTTCAAATGTACTTAAGTATCGAAAGTAAAAGTACTACAATATTAATTATGACTTTAATGTCCTATTAGCATTTTTGTAACAAGACTCTTTATCAACTCATTTTAGGTGAAAATACTCCAGTGTCTCTCTTGGTAAACCAGTCTTTTAATAGAGTCATTAATTAGTGACGCTGATGTCTATTAAAATTATCATAAACACAAAACACTGAAGGCAAACAGTTTACATTAGGTAGAACTGAGTGGCTCTGAAATCACTTTACAAACAAGCAAAGTTTCAGTTTAAGATTTATTTGCAACTTAGTTACAAGTTTAAGTTTAATAAAATCTTTAATCTCAGATTCACAAATGAGTTTCCTTTACTAAACTGAATCTGTAGGTCTCTGTTCATAAACATAATAAACAAATCTACTATAAAATGAAATAGTGTTTGTATAAATTCAGAATAAAGACACGTCAGTCACAACTGCATATGTGTACATATTTCTATATTGTGGTCTGTTTACACAAAGTTAGGTTAGTTCATCATTTATGTTGAATAGACTCTCCCAAAATTTTACGCTGCTGCACTGAACTGAACCTTATGCTTGCACTGGGTTGGTATGACCAACAGGTCAAAACAAGCTCAAAACAAAGTGTGCGCTGTGCCCTGATTGGTGTTCTTGCTTTGCGCTTCTTTCATTTTGGCGTTACATTTTTAAACACACATAAACCAAAAGGAGCGGCAGATTTCTCATAATGTAGTGGAGTAAAAAGTGAGATATTTGACTTTGAAATGTGGTGGAGTGAAAGTAAAAAGTCACTCAAAATGGTAAAACTTCAGTAAAGTACAGATACACGAAAAAACGACTTAAGTACAGAAACAAATTACATTTACTTTGTTACTGTCCACCACTGCAAAATGGTTTGTAAAGACTCTATTTCTTTACAGTGGTTATGATACAAACCAGAGGTCAAGATGTCTCCAATGCAAAAGTAACCATGTTTACCACCCATGTTTTTATATGTGATGTTGTTAACAGCACAATGCCCTGCATGTATTTTAAAAACATATATTTTTGGCCAAAACCTCTTGACAAAAGCTATTATAAAACAATATTTCAGGCTTTAGGCAGCACATTCATGACTATTTAATAGAGTAGTTTTCTTTGACGTAGCTTTTAGAGGTATTAGATGTCTGGTTCCTATCACCACCACTGTGAACTATTCTGAATAGTTTCCCTAGAGCACAGCTTTTTGCATCAAACCACTCTGAATGATTTTGTTTCAATTTTAGCAAATTTTGAGAACATTTTAGCAAATTTTGTCGAGATGTTTGCAGACACCTGCTCATCCAACGCTTCTTCTGGTTATTAATAGGGAGTTCGTCCTGCATGGCTGCGGTAACAGATGTTGGGACACTGCTGTGAGGATTTGAATGCTTTTAGCCACAAGAACATTAGTAAGGTCAGGTGCTGATGTCGGATGACTAGTTCTGGATCTCCAACTCGTTCCAAAGCTATTTGAATCATCACTCCAGGGAACTGCTTCACAGGCCAGTGATGCTTGGCACTGGGTACAGTGAGTTTAGGCTCATGTGCTGCTGCTCCAGAGCATCTCATTCTAGGAAAACTGTGTGTGCACCTGTGTCAGCAGTGAGTTCCCCCTAATATAGCTGAATGTACTGATTAAAAGAGGTGTATGGATACTTTTGGATATCTAATGTATGTAAACACACTGCATAGCCATCCTAGGTCCCCAAATGGTCCAATATGATGCGACAGTAGGCACGAGCTAATGTAATGATCAGATTTTCTGTGATTATGCAGAGCAGAGTGGTAAACTACAAAGCTGGGTTTGTGGATTAGCAAGCTAATTTTGGGTTCAGTTTAAGCTAACAATGCTACACATTTACTTAGGTTTCAGTTAATTGAGCCGGTAAGTCATTAATCAGCACATACACATGCTATGTGTGCCCTCATACATACCTCAGCTAATAGGTTTGCCTGTAAATGCTACAACTATAGGACACTGTGAAGCAAAAGTCACCTAATTATCATCTTCTCATCAGTTTATCATGGTACTGATTTATTTCAACTTTAATAAGACTGAGTTGCCATGATAACTTGATTAAAATACCTAATAGATATAAATTAAAGTGGTTGGTTCAGTGTAGTGGGTAACCCCTCTGTCCTCTATGCTGTAGACTGGCATTAGATCCACTGCCACCCTATGCTATACTAATAATCCTTGGGCAAGACTCCTAATGCTACCTTCACCTACCTATGTAAATTGCATGTCGGCCGGGATAAGGGTGTCTGCCAAATGCCATAAACATAAATTTATGCTCTTGATGAATTGGCTTAGTTATGAGTTTGCAATTTAAATCATAAACAAGGGCATCAGCTGGCCATTATAAACCACCTTTAGCAGACTGGACATTCTCCACAAGGGACCACTATTAGCACAGCTTTCGTGTGTGTCATTGAAAGGGAGGAAACCCACACCAGCAGGAGCTCATGAATATGTTTGTAGTAACAAATGGCATGAATATGAGGCAAAATTAAGTGTATGCCTAGATTGAACAGCTGGTCTGACAGCCTAACAGGCGAGTCCATATATACACAAAATAAAAAATATGCCACTTTAAAGCCTGTTAAGCTTCAATTATCCTTCAAATGTCAGTGTTTAAGTAGAGCTGGCCTGAAACCGTGTGTGGTAGGTGAATGTACACCACATTAGCTTAGTGCTAATGTAACATTAGAAGTATAGCAGAAATTAGCATTTATCGCAGAGGTGGTACTCAGGTTACTTACAGTGTGTAAATGTCTGCATTATTTATTGTTACATAATGATATGTATGGCTGTGACAAGTTCATGAAAAGACTGGCTTAAAGCACCATTAAGGATTTCTCCACATTTAAGTTTAACATTAAAGTTAACTGTTAAGTTCTAGGAATTAAAGTAAATTCCTTTTTATGTACAATTTTTACATTTTACTTCCCTGTAAAATGTAAAATGGTCAAATTACTAAAACCAGGGTAAGAGTATTGTAACATATTTGGATTATCTGAGCTGGTTCACCGAGTATTTGTACAGCTTGGTTGTTTTAAAGTGTTTTATGTCTTTTCTATTTTTTTAACAGCAAATTAATGTCTGAATTTAGTCCTTGACTGCCAAGCACTAATGAAAGCGCACAACTACCGCTACTACAATTCAAGTGGGCTTTGGGAGTTAAGTTCCCAACACTGCTGAGGCTCTTCACACCTCTGCTGTAGTGTGTTGCACAATCGATCCCCCATACATCCACAAAAAGTAACAAAATTATTAACATTCCAAATATTTAATATATTAACCTCTCTCTCTCTCTCTCTCTCTCTCTCTCTCTCTCTCACTCTCAAAGCTCAGCAGAAGTCTCCTACCCATCCGTGGAGATGCAGCATGCGTCCCCTGGACTGTTGCAGTGCTCCATGCAGGGTATGAAGATTGGGGCCAGAGGGGGGCAGCTCTCACAGCTCTCCCCTTCTACAGGCCCCAGCGAGGGGCTCTGGCTCTCCAGGGCGCTGCCCGGGCCAGCAGCGGGGGGCTTGGTGGGCTGGAACGGCCTGGATGAGGCTGAACGAGTGCCGCAGGGGGGTCAGCAGGAGGATCAGCGGCTGGAGGTGAGGACAGCAATTGATGCGTCCACGGTATTCTAGAATAATGTCACGAAGAAGAATACCGGTCTGCACTTCCTCAAGCTAACAACCTCTGACACTCTTTTTTCCATTCATCCCTCTCTCTCTCTCAGCCCCTCCCCTCTGTTGCTCTCTCTCTCTCTCTCCCTCTCTCTCTCACTCTCTCTCTCTCTCAGCAGAAGGGCTTTGTGGAGGAGCTGGATTAGTGTCTGTGTCGATTAGAGCTGCACGGCTGATGACGTCAAAGTAGCAGCGCCGCCCTGCTGGAAGCGTACAGCACTCCAACACTCACTCAAACATTGACCCCAAATCTGACTCCAGCACTAACACTCTAACAGGTTTGGGAGTGGACTCGATGAGGTCTAGTTGCGTCAGCTGGCTTGCTTATACGAACATATAGTCGACTTTATATTCATATTTTCAGACTATATACTATAATGTCTGTAGCTGGCTATTGCAAATTTAGTCTGTTTATTTAGATCATGATTGTCGAACTTTGGTTGTTTCTCATTTAAAATGTTGGATTCAACTCATTAGCTAATTAGCAAGGCCTTTGTGAGTTGAATTCAGAGTGTTAGAAGTGAGAAAACATTAATATCTGCGGAGCTGCGGCCTGGAAGGAAACCAGTCTGACACCCAGGTTGTGACTATCATAGCTCCTGTGGCCAGGCTCCACCCACTCCTGTCTCTACACCCACCATATCTTCATTTCACCCTGTTTCCACCAGAATCCCACATTCCCAATCAGTATTATCATCCATGTTGAGTTAATCCCCCCACTGTGTTTCACCGTCTCTTTGCCTGTTTCAGCTTCAGAGCTTCGAAAATGCAGCCATGGTTAACTGAACTTTTGTGAGTTCAGACTGTGCCTTCAACATGTGGTGGTAGTATGAGGGAAGAGGAGAACTCTGAGAACTTGGGCTGGACTTCTGGGCAGCTTCTGCCTGTAGCTAGAAGGCTGGATGCTCCCTCATAGCTGTAGTAGGAGTGATGCATAACTGAGGAACAGGGAGGAAATGAGGTGGTGGTGAGAATTCTGAACACGTTCATCACAAGAACGGAAGGTGAGGAATTTTATAGGGCGTTAGATTGGAAGAAGAAGGGGTTTCAGCCATGCTTCTCAGGGCAACAAACTCATTTTCCTCACTTTACAGTAACATTATCCATATTTAAAGACAATGATAGGGTTAACAATAAAGGGAATGGTTTGAGTAAGTCAATAAACAGCATGTACTTGGTCATACTATCTCCTAGTGCGCACTCTTAAACCTCTTTTTAAACATTGAGTATCATTGTTTTTTGTTATGAGATTTTGCAGAAATATATTTGTTGTCTAGAAGCAACTTTATGTGACAGTGGAATGGATTTAACCACTCACTCTCACCACTTCAGGGAACATGGCTCTATATCATTTCTTCCCATTGTCTCACACTGTTGCCTAAAGGCAACATAATCCAAAAGGACCCCTGCACACACTGTTTCTTTTAAATGTTTTTGAATTTAATATTTGGGTCTGAAAAAATAAATCAAGGACCAGTTTATGGAAGAATGCATGTAGTACAGGGTTAAGCAGGCAGTTAGCAACGTTCTCTGTTATCCCAGGTTTAGGTACTCAAGTTATGATGAATCATCACATGCATGTATATGAAAGCCTGACTTTTATGACGAACTGTCAATCACAGGAAAGATGAGGAGAAGTCCACGGCTTATTTTTCAAACAACGATAAAGAAATCATACTGTGTAAACATACAGTAAAGTAAGTTAGTGCTTGATGGAGTAATGTTTGCTTTCTATTCTTGATATCTATGTAGTCTGATTTGTTTTCTTGACCGAAGAGCAACAATTTTCACATGATTGACACCAAAAGGGACTGGATGGGACCATCTTCTCTCTGAATGGTCAGAAGCTCAGCTCTTATTGGCCCAACACCTGGTTATAATCTGAAATCCTGAATTTAACCTGCCCGAGATCAGGTTGGGTGTGCAGCAAGTTGCTATGATGGCAGATTGCCATTACCATGTAGCTCGGAGAAAAGTCATCCACCATCTTTGGACAGAAAATTCAGGGTTAGATCAACATAAGCTTGAAGCTAAACCTGCTTTAGGAGACAGACTCCAGATCTTGTGGCTGAATTTGTTCAAGTCTCTTAGCTTTTCCCTTGTATTGTCCATTTCTCAAGCTGTAGCCTGTATATTTGTTCATTCGTTCTTTGTTTCTTCTAGGTTTAGGTTTTCTGGTTTGTTTTTCTTGCTTTGCTTTCATTACATCCTCTGTGGATTTCCATAAAAGTGATGCTGGCACCTACATCCAGCCTCTTCGCCCTCCATCATGACAGTAGCCATGTTTACATTCAGCCTAATAATCCATTAATAATCCGACTAATAGCTCAATCAGAACAGAACACGTCCATGTAAACACCTAAATCTGAATAGACAAGTCCAATTGAGGCCATTCAGAACACAATTTGATCCAACTGAACGTGGTGGGTAATCCTGTAAATAATCCATTAAATAGAAGAATAATATCCGTGTAAACGTCTGTATCTGATTACATTCCCTATCGGAAAGTTCAAGTACATTCTGCGCGTCGTGGCATAGTGAAAGTTTATACCATTCAACATGGCGGAGCAGAAACTGGTCTGCAGAGGAGACGAAGTTTATGCTCTGATCTTTAAAAGACGGCGGTGGGACGGACGTCCAGCTTATGTGTCTCAGATCACGACGTCTTCCTCTCAGCCTTCTTTAATAAGGACATGTGAAGGACGTTTTCCTGAGTCTGACATCATTTTAAAGCAATTAACAACACAATCACTGCTCACTGCTGCTCATCTCACTCTGAGTGGACTCAGGTGATGCTCGTTGTCATGGTAACGTCTACACTAAGTGGTTCTCTACACATTGTGGATCGGATTACTTGTAGTGCACATGTAAACAGAGACTTTCCCTTAGAGTGCTGAGTAGAGTGAGCATATAAACACCTCAACGTTAATCTGTATTCGGAATGGATTCAATCGGCTTGGCAAAAATCTTTGCATGTAAACACAGCAACTGACATTGCTGCTCGAAAATAGCTCTGCATGGCAGCTCAGATGAACTTCATTCTCTAAAAGTGAAGAGCTCTAAATGGGCTGATTTTAAACGCTTTAATCACTGATGCTCTAATGTATACCTACACAACACAAGAGGCATCATAAAGTGAAAGTCCCTGGTGGTCTGGTGCTCCTAGCCCTGCTTTTCACCCACTCAATTTGGAGTATTTTTGGGTAATTCTGAGAATATGGCTTGGTGGTGAGAGATAAACATGCACTGTAGAGTTGTTGACCTCAAACTAACAGCAGAGTGGGGTCATCCAACAAGCTGTAATCCTCACTGCCCTCTACCACACGTGCCACCAGAGCTTAACCCACTTCCCCCGAGACACACCTGGCGAGTGTGTGTCAGAGGAAGAGCTCCTCAGAAGAACAGCGCTGATCTGGGATCAGTGTTCCTCCTCTGAGACAGATGGGCCAAGCGTTAGGATTTAGAGCTAACGCAGAGTCTGAACTGCAGAGAGAAAAATGACTCTCTAATGCTGCGGGAGTATTTTTAGACGCTACATAAAGAGATGTATCACATAACGCTGAACATTTGTGCCATTCCGTACATTCTGTGGGACGCATTAGCACATAAGCCAATCCAATTAATCGCTCAGACATGGTCAGAACCACCCGCACAATGGCTTTATGAGAAAATCCATCATGTCTGCAGGCTGAGCGCTCCTGATATGAGCGGGGCATCCTCACATGGCTTATTAATGTCATAACATTTCACAGTACGGACATCGATTGGCCACTTCATTAGGTACATCTCCTTGCATCTACAATCATTGTCCATTTTGTCAGCTCCACTTACCACTTTGTAGTTCTACAGTTACAGACTGTAGTCCATCTGTTTCTCTGCATACTTTGTTAGCCCCCTTTTACCCTGTTCTTTAGTGGTCAGGACCCCCATGGACCATCACAGAGCAGGTACTATTTGGGTGGTGGATCATTCTTAGCACTGCAGTAACACTGACGTGGTGGTAGTGTGTTAGTGTGTGTTGCGCTGGTCTGAGTGGATCAGACACAGCAGTGCTGCTGGGGTTTTTAAACACCTCAGTGTCACTGCTGGACTGAGAATAGTCCACCAACCAAAAATATCCAGCCAACAGCGTCCTGTGAGCACCGATGAAGGACTAGAGGATGACCAACACAAACTGTGCAGCAGCAGATGAGCTATTGTCTCTGACTTTACATCTACAAGGTGGACCGACAAGGTAGGAGTGTCTAATAGAGTGGACAGTGAGTGGACACAGTGTTTAAAAACTCCAGTAATGTTGATCTGATGTTAGGGGACACCGTTGAATCAATACTGGCATTAGATCAGCAGCTCAACCATCAGTGAACGTAGTTGAATTACTGTTTAGCACAAATGATTTGGCCACTAAAGGAAGTAAGATCAATGCAAACTTAACTACACAGAGAACTCAATGGTGTAACTGTTTTTCAAGTTAGGAAATCTTAACTCACTCGATTGAAGTCGACAATCAACTGTCATGTCTGCTTCCTAGCAACCGACCACACGCGCACAGCTGAAAGGTAAACACGTAGCTAGCTAATCACGTTAGTTAGCCAGACAGCTAACATTAGCTGCTGTTACTGATGTAAAGTCATATAAAACTAAAGCGCGATAAACTGAGAGTTAATAATGTTGTTTCAGTGCTTCGTGCTGTTTATCAGAGTGTCGCCACTCTACAGTTTCAGTCTCCATTTCCCAAACACTTTGGCTGAGCGCATTATTCCTCATTAT